TTCAGTGATAAAAAACACGGATTTTCCATCCACAAACTGTTATTGGATCACTTAAGCCAAGTTTCTTTTAATTTCAAAACTGGCTAAAACATTAACATGTCAATGGAATTTTTGCATTTCGATAGTGTAAACTGTAGTCAAAATATTTACACACACAAACTAACAATTAGTAAATAGCACAAACAGCTGACAATAAACAGCTGGCAAAGCGCCGAGTGACGTTGGCTGGAGACGATAAACTAGCAATAAACTATGTGGAACGGTCGGCCTTGATCTTGGAAGGATTTAGGAAACAATTCACCCAGTTTCTATTATTGGTTTCAATCGAAACAGTTAATTCACTAGTAAATCACCATAATAAAAACTAATTCTAAAACATCATTGGGAAAGGTTCATTGGGGCGTAATGGATGAGTACATTTTAATGTTAATGTGTTACCAGTACATTTTCAATTGTTAATGAATGTTGAGTAATATTCGTTTGATTTACCAATAAACGAGTATAGATTACCATTGGACTTTTTTGAAACTGAATATAAGTTAAGGTAATATTGAAAACTCTACGCTTATAACAATTTTATTGTGATATTTAGGCCTACTTAATTAACGAAAGTATAGAACTCAATTCGGATACGGTCCTTAGAATTTCCTTTTTAAACACTCAACTGGCCCCAAACAAAATTAAACTAAACTAGGATAAGAAATATTGAAAGATCCACAAAATAACCTTGAGTTTCGTTATGGGAGTTTATTTCTAATTCAACTATTAGCAAAATACACCTTGAAATTTTTAAACCCTAAATCTACAAAAATATCAATGTTTTACCACAAGGCCTATGTATAAATATAAATACATACAGCGTATACTCTAAAAACCCATAAAGCCAGCAAAAGGGGTTAGTTATTCATTCTAGGTTACCCAGTTTAATCCCTCACTTATTTGATAAAAAAGGAACTTTGACATTAAAAGTGCTGTAATACAAAAATTAAAATCCTAGATATATTGAGAATGTGGAATAAAATAAACGATGATAATAGTTACTACTCCCTAATTTTGGAAGGTTCTTATAGTGGGTATGTGGGTTAGCTGGTAAATTTAATGCTTGACATTTTCTTGCAGTAAACCTAGATAAAAGGGTCATATTCTTCTGGGTAGTCAAAGATTATATGGTTTAATTTAACCTAAACTTGACTGCCAAGCAAACTATAACGATTAAGGACTACATGCTTAGTCGAACTGCAACTCGATTTAAGATGTATAATTTTTAAACAAGAAGTTATTACTATCGATATGAACAATAATTTAATCTGCTCGGTCGTTCGAAGACAGAAAACACATATGGATATTAATCTGCCAACCTATAAGAGATTTGTAATTAAAACATAGAGATGTATAAACATCAAATTCCAAACATTGTTGACTAGCTGTACCGTTTAACTTCATAAGTATTCGCATGGCTCAATCATGTCCCGGCTGAAATTCGTTCACTACGCTCACTCACCTTTGGGTTGGAGCTCGTTCGCTGTGCTCACTTGTTTTCAGGTTAGCTCGTTCGCTACGCTAACTCGCCTCCAGGTTGATGTTCGTTCGCTACGCTCACTCACCTTTTGGTTGCAAATTAGCTGTTGTCATAAATTTTAAAAAGTCATCCCTTTTATTGTTTATAATACTTTGATAAAGGTTTTTATGTTTTAATATTTCACATTGGAGAATTTAAACGTTGTTAAGTGCACAGGTGTGCTGCGATTGGGGTTTAATACATTTGGACTTATTCAAAAGTAAAATAGTTTTCTATGCTGCACTCTGTAGAAACACTGTGGCACTACTTCAAATCATGACTAATGCTAAATACAGTATATATATATATATAAATATATAAATATATATACATACATAGTTCCTCTTTTATAGATATAGATAGAGATTGATTTATTTTAGTTAGTGAATTTAGAAAAAATGTAAAAGAAAAAAAAATTCGAATAGTAATACGATTATATAGCCTTTAACTGGAGCTATTTTCTAAATCGTTTCAATCCCACAGAACTCGTATTAAATTTACTAAGAAACACAAGCAATATCACCAATTTAAAATTCAAAATAAAATTAATATGTTAGCAGTACTATTAAAACATGTACGTTTTATCTAAATGAATTCTCACCACATTTTTTTCATGAAACAATGCCACCACAAGTCGATGGAGTAGAGTCAGTGTAAGGTCTACAAATAACACAATGGTGGAAACAGCTGCACTGAATGAGGTTATGTTCTACTACTGCAGTTTTGAATATTACGTTCAGTTGGATATTGCCATACCGATGAAGAGAGTTTTTTTTGGATCTATTGCAATAATAAAAAGGAATTAATACAGTTTTTAGTATTTTAAATTTCGGCATAAGAAAACTGGAACAAACCATGTCTCTGTCGGTTTTTATGTCTTAGGTGGCGCCAGATATCACAATTAATTGTAGCAGCCTTTGTTGTGAATATTAGAGCAACAATCAAGACTATATTAGTAACTGTGATTGGTTAAATTTTTTAAACGCCTTAGGTAATTTGAACGCTGCCTAACATATTTATGAACGATTAGTTTTAAGAATTGAATTAGCTACAGAAATAAATGAAGAAATAGTCAAACAAAGATCAGTTTTTGTTTTTGAAATTAATCTGCCCTTAAAATATGCAACTAACTTAATTTAATTAGGTATATATAGATTAAAATTTTAAACTACTTTGATTTAAGAACTTAAAAATCAAATAAAAAAATAAACAGACACAAAAATTAAAAACTGGTTCTAATCTAATTTTGTGACAGTTGAATAATAATCAGTTAACAAAATAATAGTACACATTATCAAACTTTGAAGTAGGTTTTTAGCACTGTCAATAGAAATATCAAATCGTCGATTATTAGCGAATTTCCCTATAGGGAAGTAGCTATTACCGTAGGTGGCACGGTAAGACCTAGACCCGGGACCGATTTACTTTTTCATTTTGATGTCCCCAGAGGCCAAAAACACCATTCGTTCAAATTTTTATATATGTATATATATATATATAGACATATATATATATATATATATATATATACGTCCGTGAACGCGATAACTTGAGTAATTTTTGTCCGATTTTGATGAAACTTGGTTTAAAGGTGTAAAGCGGAATAAACTTGAATGAGTTCGCGAACCAGCACGATCGGACCATGGGAACGGGGCTTTACGGGGGGTTTTATGGGGTAAAAATTGGTTTTTCTCACTTTTGACCCTCAAAACACAAAATTTCCCGATTTCTCTTTAGACCTTTTTAAAGAGCTTAAAAAAACAAATAATTTAGTATATAAAAGTATTTTTGTTCGATTATTAGTAACGGAGAAAATTAAAAAAATTGTAAATTTAAAATTCCCATGTTATTCTTATGGAGAATATTGTCAAATGTTGTAGTTTGCTTGTTTATGGATATATTTTGATCAAACTTGGCAAATTTATTTATTTTGTACTAAGCTATCAATATTTTACTCAAAAACACACTTTATTAGTTTCCTTGTAGCAGCAAACCTAGGTACTCGTTAAACCTAATGTTATTAAAATATATTTAACTGAAAATCAATTCAGACAAATGGAAATTTGCTTAGTCGGCAGGTTTGCTGCGGCGGGGGTATTTCTTTTATAAAATGAACAACGTTTAGAAGGTGTAAAACATACTCTACTAGGAGACAAAACACTTTGATTTCAAAGTCGAAGTTGAAGAGACACTAGTTGGGAAAACAAAGTCAGGAAAATGAATAATGGATTCGAAGAAAGTCGAAAGTGCTGGAAATCCTTAACTCTCCTGGAGACGTACATTTTTAACGCGGTGCAGTTTCAAAGGTGTTTGGTACAAGAATGTACAGTTAATTTGATTTGCAACTTTAATTAGAACAAGTCTTTATGTCGTATGTAGCTCTTAATTTAATTTATACTCAAGTTCTCTAGTTCTCAAACAACAGAAACAAGTATACTTTTACAGTTAGATTCTAATTTCTCTTTGAAATCATAAGTTAGTTCACCATTTTTATTTTAAAAACGAAACATTTTACTTTTACATTTCGGATTTCATTTGTTTTAGTTGTGAAAATAAAATGTTGTATTTTTTTAGTTCGTTACCAAAAGCAAAGTTAGAGCTTTATGGACTTACGACTAAAACTAATTGGCTTACAAAATAATTATGGAAAGTATTACATCAATAAAAGCACACCACTGTAAGAGGTTACTTTAATGTTCTCTTTGAGAAAAAGGTTGGCTTCACCTGGTCCATTCAGACGGAGTGAGTACTTCAGTATTAAACGATAGCTTCACAAACTGTTTTGTTCTTTCATAATTGTTTCAACTTGCATTTACAAATGTTGTTTCCTCTCTAAATCTTTTTGTATGCAAATTTGTTTTAATACCTGTGCAACGTAATTCTTTGTTGCAGTAGTTTACTAGCAGTTTGGTTTATTAGGTTCAACCATGTTAAGGTCTTCAATGATGGTCTTTTATGCCTGATAGTTCAATATGAGTATTGTTTTTAGAAATTAGCTCTGTGTGTTGTTGTTTAAGAAAATATTGTTTTAGAAAGTAGCTCTTTTTGTTGTTGTTGAAGAAAGTATTGTTTTAGAAAGTAGTTTACTCTGTGGACTCATTCTACTATGTCCTATTTGAATAGAATTTTTGTTACAACTGGTCCATATAGATGAGATGTATAATTTAGTATGGCATCCAAAATGCCTTATTTAACACGTAAAACGATTCCGTATTAAATCCTAGCTTCCAAAAATGTGGAAAACATAAGAAACTTAGGTGGAGATAAAAAAAACTGCCTTCGATACGTGATGGTCTATTGCGAGGCTTTGGTCTCAGAGGTCTTGGGTTTAAATCTATCCAATCACCAATGAACTTTACTTATCTGACAACTCCACAATGGACTACCTCTAGCCTGAAGTAGTTAGACCCTAGTGTCCTAGGATGTAAAGAAGACAACTCACCCGGAGGTGGAGACCCGAGATGTCGATGTCTCGGAGACTGTGTGAGAGGTGTCACAGAGCTGCTGTGCTCGCTGCTGTTGTCGGCGGCGTAGTCGGTACTGTGGCTCTCTTCTACCGCCCCCGAGCCACCCGCCGCCCCCACGTCGCGCCGCCGCCTCCGCTCCCTGCTGCGACCACGGGACCATCTCTCCTACAACAGGGTGTTAACACAGGTCAGGCACAAGGTCTCGGGGAAAGTGAAGGAGTCACCTGTTGTGAATTTAAATGAGGGTGTTTTCAAGAAGAGGGGTTTCTTGAAAACATTCTACACACTGCGTTATTATACCTCTAAGCTATATCGGGAGTGAGGTATAGTGGAAGAGTGGATCTTCGGTCCCCGAGGTCCCCAGATCTAATCCTGCCAAACACAGATGGGTTTTATACAAATGATGATTGTTCAACTGTCTTGTCCTTGGACAAAGATAAACCTATAAACTACAGTATAGCAGAGCATGATCGTGATTAATGATTTTATCTGCACCCCTGGCCTCCACAAGTAACCTATGGAGGCTAAGGGGAATTTCCTCTTGTATTTGTTAATATTTTATTACTTTTTGTCTCGTTTTCTTACGCATTTGTTTACCATGTACTAATTCAGTTTTCTGGTTAATGCACAAACTAGTTTGCACGTAATAGCTAGGCTAGGTCGTGTACCTGTAAAAACAACACGGATAAAAATTATTGCTACTTGCTTTACATGTTTTGCATATATTTTGTGTGTGAGTACATTATCGATTAACGAAATTATCTTAGCTATTTTCAACAAACAATGTTAATTACTGATACAACACGCTCATTAATTTTATTCTTTTTTACTCTACACCAGGGGCATTTGCATTAACAGATTTTAAACTCCTTTCAAGCGAAATCCATCTAAATCCCTCACGTTTTCTGGATACCACAGGAGTCGAACCCTTTCCCCCCACATCAAGTCCGATACGATAGCCACTAAGCTGGGAACACAACTAACTAAAGCAAAACACACTATTTTACTACTCAACTATCAATAGAATAGGTCTACAACAACAGCCAAATGTTTTACGATGTCGCCACATTCACGGTTGCCAGCAACAACAGCTGATGTACGATTATTTACAGCCAGTGTTGCCAACTGTTTTTACGAGTACATGCCTCACACAATTGTTACATATGCATTGCGTTTTAAGTTGAAAATCTGGAGAGTGTCTTGTAAGGTAAAACTAGAGCGGGAAAGAAAAAAACGATTTTGTTACCTTTTAAAACCAATTAATATATGCCACTTTAGGATTGATTTTCAACAATATTTTTTCAATAATGATAATTCTGCAAAGTAGGAGACTAACCATTAAAATACTATTTAAAATAATTGTATTATCTAGCATAGCTCTTGCAGCGCAAACTATTCTTGATGTAGTTTATTTAGTATTCAATTACGTGTGTAAATAAACGCGTTTCCTTAAAATCCAAACAAACATAAAACTAAAACACCGAATGCTCACCAATTCCGTTGCTAGTCCAAAGGAGAATTTACCATTAGTTCGATCAGAGAAAAACGTGTTGCATTCCCCTACTGTTTGCCTCGCTCGCTATGTGCAGCTATTTGGATACCTTTGAAATGTTATGTTTTCAGGTAAAATATAGTGTGATAGGTTTCTAGAGGTGTAGAATTTTATAGTTTGCAATCGTTGTTCCATGCTTGCGTTTTTTCGAGTCTTGCAGTAAAATTATTATACAGATTTTATTTGCTCTGTCTCCAACAAATAGACTTATAGAGAGCGGATTATACTTGTACGGTAGTAGAATAAAAGTTCCATATCAATAAACGGCATTTAATATTGTTTAAATCAAAACGTCCCTCACTCATGTTTAATACAAAAAAGGATTGCTATCTGATTTACATAAAAAAATAGTGTACACTTGAAAATACACAGTAAATAAAATTTAACGTTTCTACAGTTGCACTTAAGCTCACTCAGAAAACAAAATAAACTGTAGTAATAACTGTATTATCAAATCCCAAACCCTAAAGGTATCACTTTAGACTAATTTGAAAAAAAATACATTTAGGAATTTTACTAAAACATAAAAAATGTTTTGTTTTGTTTTTATTTCAATTTCATGTGTTAACTTTTCCACATAAATAAATTTGCTTTTATTAAAGATATTACCAATTATACTAATGATTAGCTAGCCCAGCGTTTAGAAATTAATTAAAATACAATACCAACAAATTATTTTTTTAATTATATTTCATATACTTAAACAAACCATAGACTAACCAACACAATGTTTGCAGGCAACAACACATTAAACAGAAGATAATTGTTTTAATAAAATTCAAAACTGTTACACTCTCTAACTGGTGTTAGCTACAATTAAATATTTCTCATTAAGGCCCCTTAACACCGCGGTTGCCGGCTGCACCAATGTGTCACCTGCGATCGACCGCTGTCACGTGGATAGTGTAACAGTGCTGCCAACCCTTGTTTTTTTAATGTATACTCCTTCAATCTAACCAGTCTAACACAAGTGTTTACAACTGAGAACTGTCATCGATTCACTTCAACGGCTGCTATTTAAGCCTGAAATCTAGCAAAAAACACACTCTAGCAAAAGAAATCCTTTGTAAAAGTTTCAAATAGTACCAGAGTGGTGTTTAATCTAAATGTTTTTTATTATAGATAAGTTCAGAACAAATCTTTCAGTATTTATGTCCGTAACATGACATTAATTCGTTTTTAACGGTGAGGGGTTCAGCTATGTACACGACCAAACATTTATACATACTATAGACTATAGTATGTAGTAGACAATGCCCACAGCCGAATGACTAGACCACGTGTAGTGAGTGACACTGGTGACTTGGGTTGGCAGCAATGCGAGAGCGACGGCGGGCACCCGCGTTGAATAAACGATCCCATATAACACAATGCATATACGAACCGCTACCCGCCGACGGTTTCTAAGTGCAAGCCGGTGAATTTACAAACCGCCGCGGGTACCCGCAACTTCTGAGACCGCTCCTATTTGAATAAAAGCACCCATTTACGGCCATGCATTTATAAAACCGCGGCGGGTACCCGCTGGCGGGCAAACCGCGGTGAATAAAAGGGGCCTAAACGAACCTAAATTGTTAATTGCTCATCACTATGACCTTGGATAGCCAAATATATAAATTCGCACAGTAATCGGTCAATATGTCCGCATTGGCAAAAAGAAACAGGTAATTTTAATTGAACGGAAACACAAACAAGTCGGTGTCCCTGGTACAGTAATGCGTTTGGCCGGAAAGTCCATTAATTAGAAGCAATTAAACAGGTGCCATACGTAGGCAAGTTGTGCCCGCATACGTGTAAAGGCACCTGCCTCTCTCACACTAGGCAGGGGACAACTTAGTGTTCTGAGTTTTCCTAAACGTCGTTCTAAAAAAACTTAAACAATCCTTTTCTATACCCCGTGTTGTAAGTGAAGATCACTCTGTGTAGTGACAACGCTTTTTTTACTGCCTATTGTGTCAATTTAAAAAAATTACAACCTCTGAACATGCTTAGTGGTGAAGTACCGATCATTGTGTTTGAAATGTTTCAAAATATTGGTCTATTTCATAAATAGTTGGAAGTGCCACAAACATATACTTTTAGTACTTTAATACTTTTTAATGAAATGTTTCCACCATGTACTTTGTGTGGTGACCATACAAAGTAGGTATTTTAAACCAAGTATGAATGGATATTAGTGTAGGATGAGTGGATTTTTTAGTCTTGTTAGTTACTAAGGCTGACATGTTTCTTAGACACAACTGTTAATTGATAGCCCATACAGCTAATGGCAACTAAGGTACCTGCAGTTTATAGTGGAATCCGAACCATATTTTTACCTTGGTATATACGAATTGGTCTCATTTTCAGGATAGTACTGCGGATAGTCGTAGGACTCACTCGTGTGGACGTTAATTCACACCAGGGAGTATCGCATCCACAGTGCATGCCTATAAATATCCACACGTTCTGTAATGCTCATTTTGCCGGAGAGTAGGGAATTGTCCGCTTGTTCCTTTACAACCTACCTTTTTGAACCCTTGTCACCCCCGGGCTTATCATGGATTTTACCAAATCTTTTTACAGTTTCCCGAACTAGTAAACATGATCGCAATCATAAAATACTTTACCATAAGAAATATCTGTTAGCTTGTACAAAAGTAGGTCCAAAAAAAGTAAACTCACAAATGATTAAGTTACGTTAAAAAAAATTTTAATTTAGCTTCAACAAGTCACACATACATTCACATAGAATTAACACAAAATCACCAAGGCACTAGTAGTAGGAGTATTCACTGTCAGTTCTGCGTCTTCTAAGCCGCTTGACTTTCTTCTGACGCGGCTGTTTGGCAGCCAGATCCACAAACGGCTTCTTATCACTGTCGCTGAGAGACCTCCACGCCGCAGCCGCCTCCCTTATCATCTCCTTGGGACTGAACTCCCCCAGGTGCGAGTTGCGAAATGCTTGCACAAAGTTTATATAAGGCATCCTGGTGGGCTTGGGTACCAAATTTGTTGTGGTTTTCTTCAACCCAGCTTTTCCTGCTTTATCCATGATAAACAATTATTACGAAATTTGCAAAAATTTGTTTGAAGAAGATTGTCGAATTTTAAAAGCTCCTGGTGCAATGAGGATAATTTACAAACTGATTTATTTTTTGTTTCCTAGGAAACCACTTACAATCTTTGTTTTACTTTCCAATTTTCCATTTAAACAAATTTAACACACTCACTCCCACTCGGTGAGACACGTCACATACAGAGGTGTGTGACGGCTATGACTGAACCTGTTAACCAGAGGTGGATGGAAGAATTTACAAAAGTCCCCTTTTTGTAGAGAAAGTTCCTGTGTTTATGACAATCGGTTTTTAATTCTGTGGTCGCTGGTATAAACACTTCATCATAATATTACCATAGATGAAGACTTCGTAAACAAGACAGCTGTCTTCTGAGCACCACTAAACAATGTAAACGAATTGTAAAGTGCTTCGACCTTTTTAAACTTTCTGATGCACAAGCAAAATGATGCAGTGGCTATGTTGCACTAGCATAAGTTACAGTTAACTATTTCATGACATTTGTCTAAACCTTTTCAATTGGTGATTTTGCTTTGCAACCAAAGGCGCTAAAGGAAGTTTTATTCACATGAGAGTTCTATAAGAATTGTAGTTCAATTATGGGTCGTATGAGTCTAGGTGGATTTACAAACATAAAAGTCCTTCGCTTGATGAATGAAGCCGTCGAATGTACGTTTGTTGACTGGTGCCAATATAAAATACCCCCGCCGCAGCAAACCTGCCGACTAAGCGAATTTCCATTTGTCTGAATTGATTTTCAGTTAAATATATTTTAATAACATTAGGTTTAACGAGTACCTAGGTTTGCTGCCTCAAGGAAACTAATAAAGTATGTTTTTGAGTAAAATATTGATAGCTTAGTACAAAATAAATAAATTTGCCAAGTTTGATCAAAATATTTCCATAAACAAGCAAACTACAACATTTGACAATATTCTCCATAAGAATAACATGGGAATTTTTTATATTTTCTCCGTTACTAATAATCGAACAAAAATACTTTTATATACTAAATTATTTGTTTTTTTAAGCTCTTTAAAAAGGTCTAAAGAGAAATCGGGAAATTTTGTGTTTTGAGGGTCAAAAGTGAGAAAAACCAATTTTTACCCCATAAAACCCCCCGTAAAGCCCCGTTCCCATGGTCCGATCGTGCTGGTTCGCGAACTCATTCAAGTTTATCCCACTTTACACCTTTAAACCAAATTTCATCAAAATCGGACAAAAATTACTCAAGTTATCGCGTTCACGGACGTATATATATATATATATATAAGTCTATATATATATATATATATACATATATAAAAATTTGAACGAATGGTGTTTTTGGCCTCTGGGGACATCAAAATGAAAAAGTAAATCGGTCCCGGGTCTAGGTCTTACCGTGCCACCTACGGTAATAGCTACTTCCCTATAGGGAAATTCGCTAAAACATATTTATTTGATAATTTTCATTTTTTTTCGCACGTTCGATGCTTCCGGAACAGAAGGAATTAAATATGCACAAAGCTGTTAATATGTAAATTGTTATTTACTGAATTTGTCAAAATGAAGTATTTGAAATGGTTTTTTCTGATTTTAAAATCGATTTTCTTCTGCATCGTGTCATGTTTAAAACTATTTTTTATGGAGTTAACTTATGTCTATTATATAGGTTGGTTTCTGCCTTTTTTACCTCTTCTCGGAGATTGTAGGTAGGTGTGTTGAATAGATGATATTCTTTGGCGTATTGCATATGTAGACGATACTTGGGTTGGCGTAATTATTAAAATGGAAAAAAGCGAGAAATCCTGGACAATTTGATATAGGCCTACTAAAAATAAAACTAAATTAACGCTCTGCTACATTTCTTGAGCAATAATTGAAAGAGCCGATTTGCAAACAATGGAAACATAAGAAAGTCATAGAACACAACCAAGTAGAAGAAATAGAAATAATGTTTTTTTTTATTCATTTATAATCGTTATTATAGAGAAACTAATGCGGCTATGAGTGGGAAACATTTATAGAAAACTCTAAAAAACAAGATCAGCTTTTGAAAAAAGATAAGATATTTAAAAACAATTTTGATTATATCTAACTGATGTGTACATCGTGACTATTTCCATAATCTTTGAGTCGACTTTTATAAAATCTTCGGAAATTATGACCGTTATTTGTTTTAAAATAACGCATGTTATGACTTCGCAATTGATCGAATTCGAGCAACAGGTATACTAGTAAATTCTCGGGGGAGTATGTTTTATCTATGCTTAAAGGTTACTACTACTATATAAATGTTTTAAATTACGTTTGTTGGTATTTCAACTTCTGATGCCTTTCATATAATTCCAAACATCATCACTGTAGAAGCGAAGTCAACTTCTAAACGGAGCGGATATCCCTACAAGATCAAGCCAGTCAACAGCTGATAGCTGAGCAAAGTTGCTGATGTTCACGCGATATAGCCTGGCTAAACTTGTTATTTCACCTCACTCATCACAGCTTGCGAGCTTTTGAAGCATCTAATTTTAAGGCGAAGCTGAATTCGGAATAAGGCACTTTTTGCCCACGTGGATAAAAAATACTCGAAAAACTTTTTCAGTAAAAGATCTCTATGAAATTGACGTTGATGTGCTTCTAATCGGAGGGGGGGGGCACGTACGTAAAAGGACATAATGTATGTTAACGATTGTGTATTTCAATTAAAACACTATTGGAATCAGTACGTTTTGTAATTTATGTAAACCTCGACTTTTTAAGCATACGAATTCATTATGTCTGTATTGACGTCAGGGCGTTTCGCTCAGAAACTAAATCAAATGTGACCAGAGACAAGAACAGACTTGAACGAACATGAACAGACATGATCGAACACATCGGCAACAGAGTTGGGGAAGTTCCATTAGTTGATCGAGCTAAACGTTGTCAGTGGCAGCCATGTAGTGAAATATCTTTGATATTTAATAACATGAAATATACCGCAACTGTTTTTGAAACGTTCCTTGTCTGTGTAAAAATTCCCTATTTAATACATAAGCTTGCTAGTAACCACAACAAACACTCGTCTAAGTCTATTAATGGTTTACTTAAAAATTAAAATATTCACACTACCAAGAATAATGTCACTCCTGATCAATACAGTAGGGGTTGGTCATTCATAAAAACCGAGTTGGATATAAGCATATTTGCGAACCTTGATGTAGGTCTGTAAAATTTATGTATTTTCTATAGATCAATAATGATAACTTGAAGCATACCCTTATATTTATTTGCCAGACTAAGTTCAAAGCTTACGTTTGATGTAAAAAAAAACACCGACTATATAATATACTTTTAGAAATCTTAAATTGTTATTTCCTTGAGTTTTCAACTTTTGTAGCCCTGTGACCTTTTCACTGAGAACCTTCTGAAGGCTGTCAACTCGTTAGTTCCCAAGTACACATTGCGACGATCCAACTACCCTACAATCTGGTCTACTGCTTGTAATTCTATTAAGTAAATTGCAACCCTAAGAGTTTAATCTGCGTCCGTTGTATTAAAAACTAACTACAGTAGACCACTCCTAGTCAGGGATGTCTCGATAAGATGTGCGAATTCAGTTCCTTAAAGTTACTAGTAAAACAGTACTATAATTTATATACGTTATATAGTTGTAGGTGCGTCGCAGGCTTTTTAGTTAGCGTTGTTAGTTTTGCTTACGTATTTTTGATTTATTTTATTCCAAGATGGATCATTATATTCGTAAGAGTTAAATCCTTTTGTTTTCAACCCAAGTGTGTTTAATAGTAAACGTATTACTGTAATGATGGGAGGAATGTTTTTACGCGTACAATGAGTGTAAATCGGTATCACGCGTTTTTCACGATAGAAAAAAAGAATGGAAATTTTAGAATATTTAGATAAGGTTAAATCGACCTAAAAGGGTTTTGAGATCGCAATGCCCACGCAAATGCTGGTAACATTTTTTATGAAGTAGTTTTAACAAAATAGTGCCACTGGATCATCTGTCTATTTATTAGTCAGACCACGGATCGGGTTTCACATCAGTCAGGCTATAAAGGAGTCTACTCGTTATGCTTATAAACAAATCAACTCTAGTAGTTAACACAATTAAAATTAGAACGGAAGACCTTATATTTTTTACCAACACTGTATCCTATAAAATAAAATATAACCCAGAATTCTATTTTGGGGTATCCTTATATTAATTCTAGTACTATGTGAATTAAAAATAATTCTACATGAACGATTTCTTTTCAAGTAAATTGATGTGACAATTTGGTTTCGAACCGGAATAATCCGTATGATACCTGATGAGAGATTCTATTGTAGACAGGACCAGGTTATCCGATATGCATTTCGATCATTGCAGCTTGTAACCCGTGTAACCCAAGACCACAAACAACCCTGTGTTTATCTCTAAAGTAAGGTACACATTATATAACTACACTTGATTGGCGTATGTCCCTTATTACACGGAGGCTTATACCTGGAAGTTATGTTTATCTTTCATCAGACCAATTATGCTAATCATAGTAGAGAGGATATAGTCGTAAATACATGAGAAAATACATTTGCATTTTCTTAATGGTGAATATTTATTTTTAAATAAGATAAAAGGATTAGTTATTGTGATCCAACTGATACAGTAATCAAAAGGTTATCCTTTGCAGCATAAGGAATAATGAGTTCAAACTGATAAGACAAAGTTGTGTTTACAATAATCAATGTCAATGTCAATTTTACGACACTGTATATTTGTTATTTAGCTCCTGAACATGAAACAATCTAAATATTCCACAAACCTTTTGGACAACCTGTTGCTGATGAACGGATTGAAAATATAGTATCATTGACTTCGTATTCAACAAATTTTCCAACATAATTTTTTAGGGTCCTCAATCGTCGTCATTATGTTTACCTCCGTTCATTGAAAAGTTGAATGTTCAAGGTAAATCACAACAATTACCTCAACCACTCGATCTATTATAGTTTACTGAATTTGCTTGAAATGTCAAGAGAAACCGTCAATTTGGACGGGTTTCATCTAGGAAACATGTAATCCAATGGTCGATGGATACAGTAATAAGAAGAACGTTTATAGAGAATTTTAACTACAAACCGAACTCATACTGGGTATACTTTAACAATTATACTATCAGCAAAGTGCATTGTCTACATTATCGGCTAGTCCGCAAGACATCCGTTTACCTCCGGGGCCTAACCTTGAGCGTGCTGAAGAAGTAGTGCGTCTTCTGTACGACGCTGACGTGGTTGTGTACGTTGGAGGCGGACTGTGCCGCCCCCGGGCCCGGCGTGGAGGCGTCTGCCCCCGCCGTCTCCAGGTGGATGTCGCCGCGACGACTCAACTCAGAGGCGGACTTGGAGAGGTGGCGGCACAGCAGACTAGAGTCTTTCAAGGTAGATGTGCTCAGCTGCCGGCCTGAAACAAGCGGAGTTGGTAACAGGGAGAGGAACACTACTTTAGTCCTTCATGGAAAAGGACATTTCTGCTTCGGAACTACATTAGGCTTAAGTCAGCTTCCACAGTGAGGTAAGATACAGAGGAAACTTAATGTTACATTTAAGTGGTGTCTAGGGCAATGACTCCCCTCCGCCCTCCTCGCTCTCATTAGCTACAACGCTCACGGTGGAGGAAGACCCTGTTCCCTGTGCGATAGGAATTTCCGCAACAGTGCTCATCGTTCAGGCTATTCCTTGCTCGTCACAAGTATATGTCCACCCCAACGGTTGTCCCATAAGCTTGTACCCTATTTATCTTATTCCTCTGTGCAGCTTCCAATCTGGATCAAAAGGGAGTTGGTAATAGGTGGGTAACAGTAGCATTTCTGCTTAGAGTACTTACATTTCTACTAGATTTTAGTCCTTTAGGAATTAGTCATCAGCATGAAGAGGAGGTTAAATAAATAAACTAGGTTAAATTGTAGTATGTCTGCATAGGAAAATACACATTACAGTAGATATTAGTCTTTCAGCAAGTGGTATTAGTGTTGCTTACCATCAACAACAGCCTTAACCACCACAGAACCCCATAAAACCACTACGACAACCACATTACTGACCACAACACCAACCCACAACCAATAACAAACATCCTTGCCACGCCAGGAGATGCGACAGGTCGCTAATTTGTAATACACGACGTACGTGTAGTAACACAGAGCAGCTCTCGGAACTCGCAAACTAACCTAGGTTAACACGAGGAAGTAAGTAAAATGTCATTAGAAATAAAAATATGAATTAAATAATTTCCATATTTGGTCTACAACTTTACTCTTTAATGGAAAAATAGTTTTTTAGACAACCAACACCTTATTTATGTCATAATATTTGTGAACAAAATTTTATCAAATCTTTGTAAATCTAAATATATAAAAGGCAAAGCCCTCACTGACTGACTGACTGACTGACTCACTCACTCATCACTAATTCTCCCACTTCCCATTTACCTAGGAGGCTGAAATTCGGTACACCAATTCTTTGGGCATTAAATAGGAAAACTAAGTAGTTTTTATTCTGATCGGGCTTTCGGGCTCCGCCCCAGTGGCTCTGGAGTTTCCCATGTTAACCTTATGATTTTTCATATTTAAAAGGAATTTCTTAACAGCTGTTTCAATTAAACAAGTTGGTTCTGTTCTATCATGTTCAATAGCATTAAAGTTACAAGGATTACCAACAGGGTGCAGCACTATTTTTTTTTCTTTTTATTGATGAGCGGAGCGAACGAGCTCCAACCAGGACGTGATTGAGCCATGCGAACGAGCTCACTTGTGAAGTTAAACGGGGCAAAGCCCGCGGGTACAGCTAGTTATCTATATAACTTTATATTCTTTGGGTCAATTAAATCGAATAATTGAACTTTAATAAGAACCTAACCTTCATATCAAGGAAGTTTGCTTGAAGTAACTACTTCTTACAAAACATTTTAATTCTGCTTTTTTGAACAGTACAAAGTAGAAATGCAACAAACAGGTTCGATAGAAATACAAACAATCGGGTAAAGTTTCTCTCTCTATTTCCTTTGTTATTGCAGAGAATGATTAGCTTCCTTGGTAACCGGTATTGTGGCAATTTGTATTCCAGTTTTATTTTTTATTTTATATTTCGATCCTGAAAATACCCATTTAACAATCTAAGTGAGTTTCAAGTGTTCAATATAAGTAAACAGCACCAATGGTAATTAAATATACAAACATAAGGGAATCATTTGAACAATCGCAACGCTATAAAAATCTATGGGATTTTACGTATGGATTTGGGTAAAATTTAAGCCGTGTTACAAGAAAACATCTCTCTTCTGAAATAATTGTCATATTTGGAACATTTTTGAATGGAAGGATAGAACTGACCTGACCTTTTTACATGTAAGTGTGTGAATGTACTAGAAAACTCCCACAAAGGTATCAACTTTTGGTTGTGTTTTAATTTTAGCGGTAGTAAAATACCAGTGATCATCAAAGAAGCATCCATATGTATATTTATTTACCACACATTATTTATCCTGGATACTAATAGTTTCTTAACTCGGATTCCCTAGTAGGGTTTCCTAGTATTACTGTATTCATTTGCCTTGTGGTAGTCATTGATTTTTAAATAACGTAGCTATAAAAGAGATTAGTGTTGATGTTTCAAAATCGGACTAACAATGTGTTGGGCTATTTACTGGTATTTTAATAAATTATCCTGGCTGAAGAACCAAATTAACTTAGTGGTAAAAAAGTTCATGTTTAATTTAATAAACATTTACAATTAACTGATTTTCACCTTAAAATACGTACCCTTTTGAGAAGGTGTTGTATAAACGAAATTAAATTCGAACATTCGTGTTACTGTCATGCAGACTGCAATTAGAAAACAGAATGTCACAATCTGGATTTTCTCAGAGTGGCATTGCATTGCCTCGACGTATTTAATGGAAAGCGTTATGTAGTCATTGTTTTTAATGTAGCCTAGTTTTGCTATGAGAATCTTCGTGTTAGTCTATCGTGCAGGCTCCAATTAGAGAGCAAAGTGCTATCCTTAACTGACTTTCATCGATCCACATCTTTCCGTTGTACTAGAATATTGCAGTGTTTGCAATCTACAATTTCAATGATTTCTGTGGATCATATTAAACCACCTTTCCCTTTCAATTATCACTTTCAGTTACTACAATAAAGTTAAAGGCTACGATTTTATCAAGATCGTGCATTTGATATTTTTTAGATTATGATCTTCATCTTGAATTTGGTTGAACCTGAGAAAATATAGTTTTTAGGAACAATATCTTGGTTTTAGTTTTTTACCTTGATGATCCTTATGTAAACGCTTGTACACATTTTAGTAGATTACAAAACCAGTGTTGACTGTTATCTTTGGTTAAACGCCCTAACATTTTCATCAGTTTAGTTATCTTACGTAGTTATAGATAACCGATTTCCTGTGTCAAAATTTACTCGTGTATTCTAGGTCGTTTCTGGATTACCTAAAAATACAAAGGAAAGTGTTATATTTAAAAGTATACATTAATTAAACATCTGTGAATACCCAAATACTAGTCTTGCATTTTGGCAGGAAAATGTTGTACCTTCATATTTCAGGGGGAAATTTAAACAAATACCTTTGAATATGAAACTATACAATTTTTAAACATGAATAATTGAAAGAAAATTGTCTTTGAGTAACCTTTTGCACTTCATTAAACATATTTTAAGTGTAACTGAACAAAGCAAACTTCAAACTGACCAAACTGTATAGTTAAAAAAAAGTACGGATATGTTTAAGAAATGTATAACGCAAACCATTCCGATACAATCCTTGTACGTGATAGATAGTTTATAGCGTCAGCACACAAACAATTATTTAAATCGCAAATATTTCTGTATTAGTTATAAACATAGGCTAATTTTATTGTGTTTTTCAGTCGTGTTGATTGTATTCTATTCCAAGTCAGAGCCAGTTGGTACTGATTATTCCAGTTGCGTGCATGTTAGTGCGTGATGCTCTCTATTATACAGGCTATCTGTGCACGTGCCCGTATAAATTAGTAATACCCCCGCCGCAGCAAACCTGCCGTCTAAGCGAATTTCCATTTGGCCGAATTGATTTTCAATTGATCTATTTAAATAACATTAGGTTTAACGAGTACCTAGGTTTGCTGCTACAAGGAAACTAATAAAGTAGTGTGTTTTTAGTAAAATATTTATAGCTTACTATAAAATAAATAAATTTGCCAAGTTTGATCAAAATATATCCATAAACAAGCAAACTACAACATTTTACAATATTCTCCATAAGAATAACATGGGAATTTTAAATTTACCATTTTTTTAGTTTTCTCCGTAACCAATAACCGTACAAAAACACTTTGATATACTGAATTGTTTGTTTTTTTAAGCTCTTTAAGAAGGTTTAGAGAAAAATTGGGAAATTTTGTGTTTTGAGGGTAAGAAGTGAGAAAAACCAATTTTTACCCCATAAAACCCCCCATAAAACCCTGTTCCCATAGTCCGATCATGCTGGATCGCGAACTCATTCAAGTTTATCCCGCCTTACACCTTCAAACCAAATTTCATCAAAATCGGATAAAAATTACTCAAGTTATCGTGTTCATGGACACATATATATATAAATCTATATATATATATATATATATCTATATATATATATATATATCTATATATATATATATATATATATACATATATAAAAATTTGAACGAATGGTGTTTTTGGCCTCTGGGGACATTAAAATGAAAAAGTAAATCGGTCCCGGGCCTAAGTCTTACCATGAGACCTACGGTAATAGCTACTTCCCTATAGGGAAATTCGCTAATAACCCTGTAGCGATGTTATAATGTCTACTGTGATTCCGTACACAATTGTATTCATTCCCGAGAATCATGTTTTGCAGTTATTTACTTTAATTTTAGTTTCTTGTTTTTTGGTAATTCAAATTTAGCTTTAAATGTGGCGAGTACTCACTTAAATTCTACTGAGGAATCTGTACTCCCTAAATACTTGTTATCCCATATAAGGTTACCAATTTCCACTAATTTTCCGTGAAGAAATAAACTAGTTGAATTTCCCCTGCAATAGAAGAACACATAACATGTCACACACCAGCGCACTCAATCGTAACCTACTTGAAACTCATAAGCAAACCCTCTGATTTTAGGATGAGAAGTCTAATTAATATTTTCAATGTCAAAGTCAACGAATCTCCGAATTCTATGATCACCTTCTAAACACCTTTTCTACTCGTGATACATCGTGGGTAAGGGATATCAGCTGGTGTTCTGTAATCATCAAACTTTGTCTTTGGCAGTTTGGCCACTGAGATATCTTGAAAGTTAAGTCGATAGCAAACACGTGTTGGGAGACAGGGAGGTGGCGCTGAGAGAGACTAGCGGAGAAATATGCAACTATCTGATCCCTGAGTGGG